TTAAGTATAAATTGTCACTCGAATCCGTTAGATCGTTGGTTATTATAGATTAAGTTAACTTATATTATTATAAACTATGTAAAAAATAAAAAAATAAGAATTCTAAAAAAAAAACATATTTTTTCGAAATTTTCAGAAGAAAATAAAAACACTTATTTAAGGAATATACTTTCTGAATAATAAGGTGAACTAGCCTTGGCCTCGAAAGTATGGCGAATTTTTCAGAGTGTCCGCCTGGATTGGAGCCAATTTCAATTCATATGTGTGGGTGTGTGTCAGTATGTACATGTGTGTACATGTGTGTATGTGTGTGTGTGCGTGTGTGTGTGTGTGTGTGTATGCAAACAGATTTTGTGGCTGAGAAATCGCTTAAAGTGGTTTAATTAAATTTGATTTGTTTTTGTTCGGTTTTTGTGATGCAGCCAAAGCAAAGGGCGTCACCCCAAGTATTACACACACACACACACACACACACACACACACATTCACACATTTATGTATATATGTATATTGTATATATATGTATATAGATGTGCATATATATATAGATTCCTATACATATTTAGATAGCTGGCATTCAGGGACCATTTTGGGATCTCAGTTTGGGCGATGGAAATCTGTTGTTTGTATGTGTGTGTGGAGAGGGGAGGGGGGGATGAATGGGCTCGTAATTAATTATTTCATTAGTGCACACTTGATTCGAGACATTCTCCCTTTTCGCGCCACCCCCACTCACAGCCACCCCCCCTCCCCCGGCTAGCCTACCTCATTCAATGAACAGCCATTTGATAATTGGGTTATAACAACAGCTGCATACGCTGCAAAAGTGAAAAGTGTTTGAAGCGCAAGCAATCAACTTCAAGAGTTGAATTTATTTCATACTAAAATTAACAATTTAATGGAATAGAAAATAAAAGAAAAGAATAATCGAATAATTATTATTATAATAACGGGGCAATTTATGATAATGCTAAGCGCCGTTTAACATGCATTATGGCTGGCTAAAACGATGTAGGGTGCACACAAGTTGTGCACACAGCGAAAGAGAGAGAGAGAGAGAAAGAGCGAGCAGGTCCGACGCTTAAGAGCGCTCTTAAGAGCGAACAGCGAGGCTGATTTGAACTGCTTGCTCGGCGTGCGCTCTCTTCTGCACTTCAATGCCAGCATGTTTGTCCGTGAGTGTGTGTGTGTGTGTGTGTGTAGCTGCACATGGGCTGGGCATGAGCGAGAGAGTGAGGGAGCAAGCACTACAATACGCACTGCGGCGCCACTGTATTTGTATTTATGTTTACACATGTGAGAGTGCCTTTTACTTGTGTGTATCTGTGTGTCTGCTGTGTGTGTGTGTGTGTGTGCGTGCATATTTATTTTAGCTTATGCCGTCTTCGCTCGCCGTTAGGTGGCTCTCGGTCCCCGAGTCCAAGCACGAGCGCCAAACACTGCCCAGCGACAGAGGCAGAGCAGCAGCAGCAACAGCAGCAGCAGCAACAGCAGCAGCAGTAACCGCGACAGCGCTAACGGACAGTGGGATGTGATTTCAAATAGTAAAGTCGACTTGCCGCTGCCGCATCGCCATCGCAATTCGTATCGCAATCGTAATCGCCGTCGCCGTCGTCGTCGTCGTCGTCGTCGCCATCGTCGTCGTCGTCGTCGTCGTTGTCGTCTCTCTGCTGTGAACTGCTTACCGATATTTTTTAGAGCTCTGTGGTGTGTTTGGTGTTTTGGTGGACCGCCCCGCCCCGCCCAACCCCGCAACGCCCCGTTACGCGCCCAGCGCTGCGTCGCTGTCGCAGTCGCAGCAATCGCAGTCGTTGCTTTTCTGTTCTGTTCTGTTCTGTTTCGTTCTCATCGTCGTCGTTGTCGTCGTCGTCGTTGCCGTTGTCGTTGTCGCTTTGTGTATGTTGTTCTTTCTGTACGTTCTGTTCTCTTGTTTGGTGTTCTGCGTTCTGCGTTCTGTGTTCTGTTTTGTTCTTCTTGCAAATGCGCGCGTGCGTCTTGTTTTGCCGTCGCTAAAACGCACCAAATTCGAACTGACAAATTAACAACTGAACACAAAAAAAAATATTCAAAATAAATTGCTGAAAACTAAAAACTAAAAACTTAAAAACGAGTAGAAAGTAATTTGCAAATTTATTTCGAAAACTACACATTTTATTTGATTCGTTTTGGTTATTTTTTTTTTAATTTGAATTTTTTTCGCTGTGCTAATGTAAAAAATACAAAAATAAAATGAAAAACAAACTACAACAATTTACAGTTTTTTTTTTCTGTTGTTTTGTTTTTAGTGTGAAAAAGAAAGGAAAATAAACAAACAAAAAAAATATTAAAATAATAAGCATGAAAATAAAACAAGTGATAAATGCAAAGAATATTCGCCAAGTGAAACTTTGCCGTTGACAATGCAATGTGCAAGATACAAGATACCAGATACAATACACAAGATACATGCATAAACTGCCCCAAACTAAATATATATAAGTATATATATATATATGTATACATATACTTGTACATGTTGACTTGTTATGTGCTGGACGCGCATAAAAAAAAATGACTACCCTCAATTGTCGCCACTGGCTGGCTGAAGCCAATAGCTGTTGTTGTTGTTGTTGTTGTTGTTGTTGTAGGGGTCTCGCTCTGCTCACTCGCTGTTCGCAGGACAGCAGTCGCCGTCGCAGTCGCAGCAGCAGAAGCAGTGCGCAGAGCAAGAAACTCCTATTCCTACACTGCTTGCTTTTGCCTTTGCATTCCAATTGCCCTGCCCCCCGCTCTCTCTCACTCGCACTCGCACTCGCAAACACACACACACACACACACACACATACAAGTGTCGCACGTTGTTTGTCGCTGGCGTCGCCTTTTTTCGTCGTCTGCTTCGTAATTTTCTGCGTCCTCTGGATTGGTTTCAACGATTCAATTGCGTTCGTTTTTTATTCTCACTCCCCCTCTCAATACACACACACACACTGAGACTGTGACTGAGACTGGCTGTGTGTGTGTTTGTTCTCGATTCGATTGGATTACATAGTCGTGCTGCTGTCGCTTGCCTTTGCCCGGCTCCGTAATGCTTTTTTTTTTTCATTTTCTTTCTGTCCCTCAACATTTGCAGAGCAACCCGCAACCCGCCCCGCCCCCTTCTCGCCCACGACGCGCACGATGACGACGACGACATTTCGTTTTTTCAGATTCGCCTCTTGCTTGTATCGTATGTGTGTGTGTGTCCCTATATATATATCTATATATATATATGTGTGTGTGTGTGTGTGTGCGTGTTCTTAAATATTGTCGTCGAGTGTCATTGGTCAAAGGCAAACGCGAGCAGCGCTGCCAGCGCACACGTCGTCGCATATTGTCGCAAAACCTTCGTTTTTTTTTTTGTATTCTTTTTTTTTGTACTTTTTATTGGCTAGTGGCTGCTGCTGCTGCTGCTGATGGTGATGGTGATGGTGCTGCTGCTATTAGCTTTTTATTAGAATCCATGCAAAGTTGTTGCTAGCGCAGGCTGGTGGGTGGGTCGGTTCGGAGGGGGTGGGTGGCGTAGGGAGTTGCGGGCGGCGCCAACGGAGGCGTGTGCAGCAAAAGTAGCCGAATGAATTTTTGGTTTCTGTGTGTCGTCGTCGTCGTCGTCATCGTCATCGTTGTCGTTGTCGTTGTCGGGTGCGGGTGTATGTGTGCGTGTGTGTGTGTGTGTGTGTGTGTATTTTTGTTGGTGTTGTTTGTGTCGCTGGCGTTGTCGCCTTTCTTGTGGGCGTGTGAGTGAGCGAGAGCGCTTAAGCTGCATGTGTGTGTGTGTGTGTTTGCAAGTGTGCGAGCGAGAGCAAAGTGCACAAAAGTTTTGCCAAGCTAAAATGGCGACAACGACAACGACGACAACGGGCAACAGCAGCAGCAACAGCAACAGCAGCAGCAGCAGCGGCAACAAATTTTGTGTCGTGCGATTTGATAACCGTTTTGAGAAGCGGCGGCGGCGTTGCTGCTTTTGCCTGTCGCACAAAAGTCGCCCGGACAAGCGTTGGAATACACACAGCGAAAAAAAGATATCACAACAATCGACAACAACAACCAATAATAACAACAACAGCAATAAATAATAATAATGCAAATACAACATAAATCGGAAATCGAATTAAATAAATTAAGCAAACATCATTTTCATCGAAAGATTCAACTTTTGTAATCCAAAGTTCGCTTCCCTTTCGCCTCTCTCTCTCTCTGTGTGTGTGTTTTTTTTCATCTTTTTTTTTTTGAGATACTTAGATACATTTAAATTTGGCTAGAAGAGCAGAAACACTGAACTGAGCTGAACACTTTAGTTCTTGGCCAAGTTTATTGGACGCATCAAAAGACCGCAACAACAACAATAACAACAATAATAATAATAATAATACTAAAACACATAATAATAATTACAATTGTTTTTGTATGATGTGAGCAGAATTAATCGCAGTCACGCTAAAGGTGCAAAGATGTAAAAAAAAGCAACAAAAAACCCACAAAAAAAGTAAAACAAGCAAAAAGAAAAAAGAAAGCTGATAAGCGAGAAGATAACGAATGCAACAACAACAACAACAACAATAATAATAACAACAACAACAGCAGCAAGAACAAAATACAAAGTTCAAAGCAATGAGGAAAACAAAAGCAAAAGCAAAAGCAAAAGATGCTCAACACTGCAACATCAATTGAGAAGTGCACAGATCCAAATACAAATACAAATACAAATTCAAATACAAATTCAAATACGGAGACAGATACGGATACAGATACAGATACAGACATACATATGCTCAGCAGTGTGTGTGTGTGTGTGTGTGTGTGTGTGTGTGTGTGTGTGTGTGTGTCTATCCATGTACGTGCCTACGCCCAATAACTAACCAATAAAACACTCTGAAGCACACACATATCTACATTTGCATGTACGTATGTATGTATGTACGTATGTATGTATGTATGTATGTATGTATATAATGCAAACAATTTATGAATCAACGAAAATCAACGAAAAGAACAACAACAACAACAACAACAACAACTACTGCTACAAAAACAAGTTCAACGATAAGAAAAGCATAATCCATGCCACAAATACAACAACTAACAACAAGCTGAAAACAACGATCGGATTTTACATCCATTGCATCGGTTACATCGATTCCAGGTGGGTTAATATCAGTTAATACCATTTAATACCCTTGAAGCCGTCCAGTTTCAGTCTGCTCTATTCGAAATCAGCTCAAATGATAATTTAACATCTATTTGTGGCACTCTTGATCGGAAAAATTGCAAAACTAAAAGTACATTTGCAATTTTGAAATGATTTTTTAAGTCATCAACGATTGATTGATTGATTAATTGATTGATTGATTGATTGATTGATAAAATGAGGAAATGATTATTGTTCTGCAAATGTGTTCAGCTTCCAGCTGTCCTATGTTCAAAGTAACCCAACCATCTCAATCATAGATCTGAGTTTGGGTATATATATATATATATTTATATATATAACCACAATGTGTGAAAATTAATAATGAACAAAAATTTACAATTAGTTTGCTAATTAATTTGAGACATTAAAACTGTTTCAATAACTACAACAAATGCAACAATTTGTTTATTTATTTGTTGTAGAATAATACAAATGGACAATTTTCATATTGGTTTTTTGACAGCTGCTTTTCTAATCTAAATCCAAACTCATTCGAAGAAAAAATGCCCATCGGATAAAAGCAAACTTTGAAATATTTAAAGATACATTGTACAAAAAATGTATCCAATGATATCAAATATAATATTTATACGCGGATGCAACACTTTTCTGTATTCGAAATAAACAACGATTCTGTTGAGAGGATAATATTCAAATAGCAAGTTGGACTGCGATTGAATGCATATTTGAAATCACTTTATTGTTGTTAGTTTGTGCTAAATGCAATTATTTAAAGGCAACTTTGACTAAAGGGAGGTCAACTCGGGACACATTTGTCAACCAGTCGGTTAGTTAGTCAGTCAGTTAGTCATTCAGCTCGCTCTCTGTCTGTGTATGTAAGATACCAAGAATTCCTACACTTGCCAGTTGTACATACGTACATACATACATACATACATACATACATATATGTATAGAAATATATATGTGTATATGTATCTGTATTAACATGTTTACCTTTGTCAAATCGCACAGCTCTAAATGAGTTTCGCACACAGACAGCAGCAAGACAAGAAAAGAAGAAAAAAAAAGAAGGAAAGAAAGGTGGGGGGTCAGCAAGTGGGAGGGGCGTGGAGGGAGAATGGGCTGCACAGCGTCTATCACAATATCTATATAGCCATATAATCGCTTGTTCGTGAGCTGTAAACACAGGCATTGTAAATTTACACCATGCTTATAATTAGCAATAGAACGGCAGTTGACTTTTTATACCCTGTAAACTACAGGGTGTTAACGCGGGTATTATGAAACCATCATTATGGCAATCATGAATAATGAAGTGGGCAGAAACCAGCTCCCCAACAGCCGGCTCGATTGCAGCTACAACTACACAGCCAGAACCCTCAAATTTGCAATATAATCTTACGTAATAAACTCAAATCGTTCAACATAAAATTACATTATTTTTTATTATTAATTTCCTTTTTTTCTTTTTGTATTTAATGTGGAATAAAAACAGTGCGCAAAAATCAATTAAAATTAAAGCAACAATAAAAATGAAATAGAGTAAAAAATGAAATGTAATATAGAAAGGGAGTAAGTAAGAGAGGGAGAGAGAGAGAGAGAGAGAGAGAGAGAGAGAGAGAGAGAGAGAGAGAGAGAGAGAGAGAGAGAGAGAGAGAGAGAGAGAGAGAGAGAGAGAGAGAGAGAGAGAGAGAGAGAGAGAGAGAGAGAGGGAGAGAGAGAGAGAGAGAGAGAGAGAGAGAGAGAGAGAGAGAGAGAGTTAAAAGGTGGGCGAATTTAAAGGAGAGACCATCTGATTAATCAAAGGGTATCTCTTAGTTGATTATAGCATTCTTACATTTTTCCCTTGATGCTGTTGCCAAAGTTGCTGCCTCTGTTGCCAGTAAATATATATATAATATATATATATATATATATATTTACTTGCTTCATGCTTGTATAACTATGGTCTGCACCTCTATATGGTTCACACTCACTCACACAGCCCTTTAGCCATCAGGGACCACGGCAAAGTTTAGTGCTAAAAAAATGACAGACATTGTTTGCAGAATAAGCATCTCTCTCTCACTCACTCTCTCACTCACTCTCTCTCTCTGTCTCTGTCTCTGTAGCTACCTTGTAGTTGGGTTTGCCTATGGTTGATTGCCAGCAATAATTGTCGCTCAGGTGTTGACGATTGACGCCAATTTCGAGCCCAGCATTGTATTGTGTCTGTGCAGTTACAGCGATCCATGCTAACTAACCCAATGCCTCGAAATAATACCAACAACAACAACAACAACAGAAACAACCACAACAACAATGAGAAAAACAGAGTTTGTTTTTGCCCCACCGCAGTGTTGCCCACACAGATAAATAATGACAAACGGCTGATAAATCATCATTATTATTCAGTGTCGCCATCTAGCGGCGCAAGCATGCGTTTAGCCAATTTTTTGTTATATAATCATATAGATAAACTCCACGTAGCCATCCTTAAAGCGAACATTATCAATTTAATTGCTTTTTCGAATGATTTAACTTAGAATTTACTCACATTGCATACGTATATATATATATATATATATATATATATATATATATAAAGATTGATTTAAGTAACATGTAAAATTTCAGTCATATATATAGATATATATTTGTTTACATTTATATATTATTATGCTCGCTTCGAACATATATTTAATACTTGAATTGGAAAGTTAAAACATTTAAAAGGGCGAATTATCGATTAATATAAAGTAAGATAGATCTGAGCGTGGTAAGCCAGAATTGATATTCCAAACTTAGGGTTTCTAGATCTTAGAGCCTCTGAGATCGACTCGGCTGTTGATCCTCATCAAGATCAAGTTGCTATAGACCTTAATATGCCAAATTTTTGGTCTGATTGGGTTTTTTCTCTCTGGGTTTTCCCCAATTCGTGCAACAAATTTTGGACCATTTTGCATTTAAAAACTCGCAGAAAACTTATAAATATTTCTTATGTTTTAGTTTTACATTTTGTATTTTTTGTGGGCACTGACTTTATTTGACATTAAATAACTAAATACATAAATAAATGTACACATTGAGACTTAATCTGATCGATGTTTGGGGTATATACACTTGGAAAAACAATGTTTGAAATTCGTCATATTCCATATTACTCAGAGAGTTTATTTGTAAAAACCAGGGGTTTTCTTCTTCTTCTTTTTAGGTTGGATTTTTATAAAATGTTGAAAAAATATGTCCAAAAGCAATAAATAAAATTGGACTTTTTGTTGCTTAAATATATATTTGTAATTAATAAGCATTAGTATTTAATCTTTTTTTTTTGGTGTAGAATTATAGTTGGACTTGTTGGTGAGTGAAGACGGTCTTGGTTTAAGCTTGATTGACATTAGCGTATTTCTTGCTGACATTTCGGCGAGTTGAGCATTTGCTGTGCTTTGGCTGATCTTTCATGAAAATGCGATGCATATTGAGGGCCATGGATAGCCATGGATAGAGCTACTTGAGTAAAACTTCGGAGGTGCAATGACGATATGCGATTCAGCGTCTTTTGCTGATGAGCTTGTCTTCAATTGATGCAACAGATGCACCTGCTCCCAATTTGTGTAGTAACTATTGAAATTGAACTTTTATCAAGATATATTTGTAGTTTGGAATTATCTACGTAAACTGTTCAGGTTTGGGTTATCGATTATCATTCACATAAAAGCCTGAAATGCAACAGCGTTTGTAATATTGCATTTTTTGACTGATCCCAGCTCCAGCTCCTTCCAGCACTTTTCTGGCTACAAGTTATTGTTCCTTGATAAAAAAAGAACTAGGCAGTTGCTGTAAAACTGTGATTGTTTAAGTGACTGTTCTCTTTGCAACTACAACAACAACAGCAATAACTTTGCAACAATTTTTAACTGTGTTGTCCAAGCGACCACAGATTCTATTCGAAAGGTATTTGATTTGACTGCGATTCGAAATGTCAGTAAAATTAATCCGTTTTCTTCAAGTGTGCTTTGAACTTTTTTTTATCGACTTTGAATATATGTCCATTTTTAAGGACAATCAAGAATCATAAGGATTGTTGCGGTTTCTATCATTTTTATAGTCTGATACTTATATTTCGACACTCTCTAGAGACTCTTACATTACTTCGACGTTATGATTGGATATGGTCACCAAACTTGAAGGCAACGCGTTGGGAACCTCCTTTAAATATCGCCCTTCCTGACCACGCCCACTCCTCTTCTCTTGCTCTTTTTGGGTTTTGTGGTTGCGATTTGAAATGGTTAAAAAGGGTCACAGGAAGATAATTAATTGCAATTTAAATTGTTACAGCTGATTATTATTTCTTTCTACTACTAAAATAATTATTGATCAATATAAATTGTAGAATTCTCTTCAAGAATCAGATTTTCAATCAAACAGCGATCACACATCTTAAATTCAAAATAAACTTGACTTGTCGTTATTCATGTGTTGTTTGCATTGGTAACTTGATTTCTTGGTGACTTGGCTCCTTGGTTACTTGGCGCTTATAGCTCAAAGTTATGATAAACTGAGCTCTGATCGTTGGCATAACGAGACGCAAGATGCCTTTACTTTACTTACTTTACCTTACTTTAGCTTGCCGGCTAACTGACTTTTGTTGCCTCGTCGCGGCTGTTAATTAGCATATTTCGTCATGAGTAAGCCAACTTGCAATAAGGTGGAAAGCCACTCCGACGTTGGCTCAAAGTCGCTGAAACAGTTAGCCAGGCAAGAGGATCGCCGATTGCCGATTGGCTACAAAATGAAAATGAAAATGAAAGAAAGAAAGAAAGAAAGGGCGGAAATTAAGCTGGCGTCTGTAAGCGATACTTTCGTACTCTTCTCTCCTCTATCCACCAATTTAGTAGTATTTAGTCCTCTTCCTCGCGGCAGGACAATAATCATTTTGCACGCCTTGACCAAGTGGAGACGACTCGACGCGAGTCGAGTCGAGTCGAGTGGCATGGAGTGTAGTTCAG